GGCGCCACGGAGCCCCAGCCCCGCCAGTGCAGGGCCGCCACCCGGGGGGCTCCGAGGGGGGCCGGGCTCTGGATCGTGCTTCTGTGGCTTCTGTGGGCAGCGTTTGAGGGGCTGCCCATCGAACCTGCTCTGCCCTGTTGGTCTGTACAGCAGCATCTTACCTGTGAGCACTTGGAGCACTGGCATGTCCAGCGCTACCCTTAAGATAAAGAAATAATCCAGTGTAAGAAGCCTGAGTAATGCCGCCCTTGTCAGTAAGTGAAGTGATTGCACTCTGGTACTACACACCGGGAAACACCATTTAACTTTCACGTGAGTAAAGCCCACTCGGTGGTCTCAAGTGTCCAATGACTACCATGTGGTAAGGTGGAGAGAGCTCTTGTAGAGACTCATGGTTCTAAAGGTACGAACCGGCAGGCCTAACCTGGCACAGGAATAGTACAGTTCTGCTATTTAGCAGTAGTTTAAACACGCTGATGGACACGTCCACTAGGCTTCCATTCTGGTCTGTGTTCATGAAGCAATGTTCTCCAGCCAAGAGGGCCAGTCAGCAAGGAACAAGCTCATTGCTTCCCTACTGCCTCACCAGCCAGGAGACTGCGTGCGTAGCCTCAGGCATAACCTTACTCTGTAATGTCTCCTGAACTAAATGCAATTCATGATCTGTTGTCCATGCTCAATCTGAGTCCTCCAAAATTCACACAGTTCTTGTCAGATTCCACTTTTAGTATGTCAGAGATTTATTTTAATTACTGCTTGCATACTAAGTTCATCAGCTGGCCTTTCCTGTCCTCTCTCTCATGCTTCTACCAACTGCCCTTGCAGTTCTGTACAGTACAGGTAGGACTTCACACAGTGTTGCAGCTACTGAAAAAAAAGGGGGGAGAGAAGGTGAAAGTGTTTCTTACTTTAGTAGGTAATTATGATAGTAGAAAGTAAAGATCTGATAGTAGGAAATAAAAATTTGAAAGGGCATAGTCATGTGCTTTTCACACTTTTTTCATTGTGGTATTTGCACAGATGTGAAGATCTGAGGTATTGAAACAGCGGGTTGCTTCAGCTGCCCTCACTGCAGTTCCATTACCACCAGACATAATGAACAAGAACTTTAGGGGAAGATAGACTTTCTGCATTACTTAAGGGCTGAAAATGTGAAATTGCAAGAAAATATCGAGTGCCAACATTATATGAATATATATTCCAAGGAGAACCATGGCCTGTAAATTGACCCCTACTTATCACGGTGTAGTAAGCTTGCAACAATAGTGAGACAGTTGTAAAAAAGAGATGTATTTATTACATCCTTTTGGGTAATTCACAGGTGAATGTATGCAGAAGTGTTCTTCATAGGTGGTCAAAGCACAATGCTTTTGATGTGCCAAATTTGTTTCCAGTCTGAATGCTACAAAACTGCTCTTAGAAAAAGCCAGTTTCAGTTGTTACTAGAACTTTTTCCTGCTTTCTAGCTAGACTGTGAATGTTCAGATGACCTCTGGAATCACCTATTAAAACATATTTCAGCTGCAGAATAGTTAAATTACTCCAAGTAAAAGGCAAAACTTCATAAAGTTCTTGCGGTAATCCAGTATAAATTAAAATTTCTGTATTTCAAGGCAGTATATCAAATACACTTCCTCCAGTACAGCAGCATATAGAATATTTTAACATTCCCAACAAAGGCAGAATAACTGTGTTAAATACAGCTGTGAGTGCCAAGGCACAGGTCAGTAAAATTACCTTCATAAGAATCGTGAAATTGATTAATGGAACGTGTCTGAAGAACTTTGTGTCTAAAGAACTTTGTTTTTAATAGGAAAACATATTTGATCGATCCAGGATGGCCCCAAAGACTCCCATTAAGAGTGAACCAATTGATTTATCGAAGCAAAAAGGCTGCACACCGGAAAGAAATCCAATTACACCTGTTAAGATCACTGACAGACCTCAGCCTGATCCCTGGACTCCTACTGCTAACCTGAAGATTCTTGTTAGTGCTGCTAGCCCTGACATGAGGGACAGGGAAAAGAAGAAAGAGCTCTTCAGACCCATAGAAAACAGTGAGCAGAGTGACACACCTGATTCATTACAGGTGAGACTCAGAACACCATTACCTTATATTAAGCTAGGATTCAGACTTTCCTTAAGTTGCTCCTCAGTTTGCTTCCATCTGGTTCTTTGCTCCCTATGGAGAGGTGCAGAATTTTAAGTCATTGCCAAGGACACTTGCCACCACCAAAAAGGCACTGACTGAGCAGTAGGACTTCAAAAGATGAAAAATAACTCTTATTAGTAATTGACCTGAGATCCCCTCAAGAGCCTGAATATTACTTAAAAGGACAGTGAAGGATGTAGAGCATAAATGTGATTTTCCCCAACTGAAGTACTTTTGAACCACATTAGAAAGAAAATTGCCAGATCTGTTTTCAGCAAATGTCATTTTCAAAAATAAATTTGACAGTGAGAGAACATACTTTCCAAGTCTTATACCTCATCTGCAACTGTCTTGCAAAGTGGTCTTCCGAAACTCTTTTTTCCCCACTTTCCCCCCAAACTAGTGGTCAGGAAGCAAGGCCAAGCATTAAAATTTCTACTTCACATGACTCAGGTAATGCAGGGATTGACCCCTGTCCTCATTTTAGGAAGTCTGTCCCTGGAGAGGATGAGATTGTAGTAAGCATCATTACAGTTTTCTTCCTTCATCCTTTTTTTTTTTTTGTTCCAACAACTGCTTTTCCTCTCCTGGTTTATTTCTTGTAGGATATCCTTCCCTGGTGATTTCAGCAACAGGAAAATAGTTCTGTGTCCTTCTACTGAGAAGCATCATTTCATAGGTACAGATCACTCTAGAAGTGTAGGTTTTACAGCAACTGCAGTAGCAATAGTAGTGTAGAAAATTCTGCAGTTTTTATAGTCATAACAAAGCAAACAATTCTCTAAAGATCATTGCTAGCAAAGTGTACAGTAGGTAGAAAATAGTTGATGTTTAAGGTTAGTTCATTACCACTAAGATCACACAGCATTTTTGGAGTGGCTACAATAAAGATGTCAAATATTTTCTAGTCGCAAAACTTCCATTTAATAATTTTCTCCACTTAGAAAGGTAACATACAAAAGAAGCAGACGTTTCAGAGTAAAAATACTGCTATTTCCCTACCATTTAAAACTCCGTTCTATCAGAGCACCAGCCTGATAACCACAAGGTTACTTAGTTACAACTACCACAGGACCGTTTAAGATCCCATAAGCAAGGAAACAGGTTTTAACAGCTACCACCACCTTCAGCTTTTCTTTGCCAGAGGGCAAGACTTCTTTTCCTTTTTATAACACAGAGGAAAACCCCAGAGTAACCAGTGCAAAATAATCTTCTATCACTCTTTTTTTGTGATAAATAAATATACTTCTTCCTACATTCTTGCCACCATGGTTTTGCTGGTTTCTATTTTTTGCCTTGCTGTAGGGTCAGAAAGACCACATTCAGGCCATCCTACAGAATTACTTAAGCTAACATCTTGACTACATTTAAGGTTCAAAGACTGAGTAGCACCTTTTTTAAAGTGATAAGAGTCACTGTAAAAGTCAGCGAAAAGAGGTATTGCAGGAATTTCTTGATAGCTTCTGCATCTCCTGTTTTATTAGATCCAGAAGTGTTTAAGAGCATATTCTTCCTTCTTTCCAAAAGAAATACTCTTTCTTGAGTATAATCTTGTCATCTGCTAGTCTTGGGTGTTGATCTTTCTGGCTTTTTTCCTTTATGTATGGCCACTATTTCATAATTGCACAGATGAGAGTTTTTCTGCAGGTATCTTGTGTGATGAAGTAAGAAGAGCTTGCAATTGTGTTATCCAAGTGCTCTGTGCTTTCAAGGTGTCCATGTTTTGGGTTTTTTTTTTTAATTAGAAAATACCTTAAATATTGGTGACATCTGAAATATGCCTCACTTGACTATGTCTTGCTTTTAAAAGCTCTGCACTAAAGGGTTAACATTTATTTTTTAACAGTATGATATAGTAGATGACGGCACGGTTGATGAATTTGAAAAGCAGAGACCCAGCAGAAAACAGAAAAGCTTAGGACTCTTGTGCCAAAAGTTTCTAGCTCGCTATCCAAATTACCCATTGTCAACAGAGAAAACTACCATTTCTTTGGATGAAGTGGCTTCAATTCTTGGTATGTATACCTGCAAAACTGGGGTAACTGATCACCTGGGGTAACCTAACAGGTGGGCCTCCCAAAGATCATATTCTAACAGACTACATTCAAGATCTGCCTTCTCCAGCATCTGGATACTCTTTAATCATACTAATCAAAAGTTGGAAATGCCTAATATTCTTCAGTGTCTTTGTTGTTTGGTAGCACTACCATTTTGAAATCTGCTTTCTGTCTTTCTGCACTTTTTACTGGACACATCTTGCTTCCAGCTGTTTATGAACTCAGTTGCTGTCTTAAATATTCAATTTGTTGAATACTGAAGGAGTTAGGATTTACAAACCCCCTGAAGGAGGGTTTATAGACAAGAAATTTTGTCAAAATGAAACATTTGAGGAAATTATTGCATACTGGTATGTGTAGGAGATCAGTTGTGTTTGCTTTCTGACTTCTGAACATGTTTGACATCATATCTTCCGAGATCTCATGGTTCATCAAGGTTACCTTAGCTTTGAATATTGCCTTGTGATGGGAAGGTACTGGGAGAGCTGAGAGAGTACCATGAGAAAATGTCGTGTATTGAGGTGGCGAGAAGATTTTGAGTAGCCCATTTGCTGGTTCTGCTGTTAAGTTTGGTTTTAGTTAAAAGATTAATGAAATAAGTGCCAGAAGTGATAAAACTTGGAAGAGAGAACTCAGCCAGGACAGATTAATAACAAAAATATCCGAGTCCTTGGAGAGGTGGTTTCTTATCTAGGAAGGGCTTTACAAAATTTGACTTAAACTAAATAAATCTTGTATCTACATTTAAGACTCAGGTATTAAGAGAAAAGAATGAAATTTGTCTGTTTTGGGAAGGAACAGAAGAATGATATCTTCTGTGCCTCTGTTAAGAAGGGCCTTGGAATCCCCATTTTTTTGCCTTGGTAGAGTGAATTTGAAATAGGATAGAATGCAGATTAGGTAAATAGATATCAGAATAATCAGAAATACTATCTAGAATACAGATTAGGTAAATTATTTTTAAAATTAATTGTTCTTTTAGATTCTGCAGTTACTCTTTCATGTGTTTGCATGAGATGCTCATGCTTCAACTTTGTACAGTTGAACATGAATAGTGCTTTATTCTGTTTTGGGAGTGGCATTGACTTGCTTTCCTAAATAACAGAAGCTTTCCTCTAAAACTTGCTGTTGGAAATTTCACCTCACGAAAACCGGAAGGTTTTGGTTGTCTTTTTCCGTTTGGTTTTGAGTTCCTTGCTTGTATCCACTTGCTTCAGTGACCACAAAATTACCTCCTGCTGATGTTGCTGCTCTCGATGTAACAAATGGCATCTGTGATACAGCTTTTGCTACAAATGTATATTGCTTTGTTCACAGAAGACCAGTAGAAGGCCACAAAGGGGGCTGTACTGCTGGTGCCTGACAGACTCCAGGATATGTGTAGCCCTCTCGGTTTTTTTGAATTGTGTTTCTCTCCAAATTCTTCACAGCTAGCACTTGTTCTGCTCAGTTGATGTTAAGTGTTAGAAGATTTTTGGTGCAGATGCTGCCATCAGCATATAGTACATTGTTTTACATATAACAGCCACGCTTCAAACAGCACTGGGCACAAGCACTTAGGATAGCGAGTATTGCCACCAACCTGTTCATAATCAATCCCCAGCTTTGCTCACATCAGTCAGGCCAAACTCAAGCTGGACATATTTCATAAATTTCCCACAGGTATAGACCCAGCCAGCATTCATGATTCATTTCTGTTGTGTTGAGGTCTCATTCTGTACCGCTCTACACCTCTGCACCTTGTGAAGCTTTTGATGCCCCTTTACTTGGTACTTACTTGGCAAGTAATTGTGTCACTAAGCGCAAGTGGAGGACTGCATTCCCCCTGGTATGGAGGGACTTTTATGCTGTGGCAGACCCTTTTCTGCCCTCTATTACATGCAGGCTTGTGTACAGGTGCGTGTCTGAGTATTGAAGCTCTGTGAAAGGAAGAGCCAAAGTGCTCTGAAAACCCTGGGGCAGTTTGGGTAGTGAATGGGGCTGGCAGATGGTAATCAGTTCTAAACACAGTTTAAGCTGAAGCCATGGTTGGTCTGGAAGTTAAAATGGACACAGAACAACAGTGTGAACCTGGCCATGCATAAATCAGATTTTCAGTGTGCAAATATAGATGTATCTAATAGAATGTGTCCACATGAACACTGAAAATGTCTACCTGTACTCTGTTTGCTTCTTGCTGAACTAAGATGAGCATCTATGTCTTTTGTATCTGCTCCCCTCTCTACTTCCCAAACAGGAGTTGAGCGGAGACGAATTTACGATATCGTGAACGTCCTGGAGTCATTGCACTTGGTCAGCCGTGTGGCCAAGAACCAATACTGCTGGCATGGCCGGCACAACCTCAGCCAAACTTTGAAAATGCTTCAGGAGGCAGGAGAGCTGCAGTATGGAGAGTTAATGACCTCCCAGCACAAGGAGCAGGACTTAGAGTACAAATTTGGAGAACGGAAAAAAGAAATTATTCCAGATTCTCAAGACAGACCATTACTGGATTTTTCAGAACCAGACTGCATCTCTGGTAAGATGATTACTAAATGGCTGATGATACAGAAACACATCTCTTTCTTCAGTTTACTGTGTCACTTTTTCCTTTGCTTTGCCTTTAAATTAAATAACAAAAGCTTTTCCTTTGCAAAGAGGTGCTGAATTCACCATGGAAGGTACAGAAGGTACTTCTTTCTATCCTGTCCCTAATATAGGTCTCAAGACAGATACTTCTCTCTGTCCTGCAGACTGGCAGGAAGTTCTGCTGGACAATCCAGTTCTCTCCCTGCTTGTATCTGACAGTACATGCTTTATCCTGACAGAAAGCACCATCTGAATTTGTCTACTCTTTGCATGCTCCCCATGTAACACGTAATGGTTTTAAATTACAAAGTCCATTAGTCACAAAATTATAGTGGCACAAAACTGTGTCATGAAACATAGAATCAGCTTTGGAATTTCACTTTCTAAAACCTATTTTTCAAGTTTGAATTTTTAATACCCTTTGAAGGGACTCCTGTCTGCATTAATCAGTTATTTGCTGCCTTTCAATAAATTTCTGCCTTCTGGCAAGGAAATACTTTACTTATTTTGTGTGGGAGAAACCTTCTTACTAGTTTTCTGGCTGTGATGGATGACATATGCTAAGAGGCTTGGGTATTATTTGTAACACAGCATCTGCAAACAGCAGAAAGGACAAGTCATTGCGGATTATGAGCCAAAAGTTTGTCATGCTGTTCCTTGTCTCCAAGACCAAGATAGTCACTCTGGACATCGCAGCAAAGATACTGATAGAAGAAACCCAGGATACAGTGGACCACAGCAAATTTAAAAGTAAGATGGCTAATGAGAGGCAAATCAATCAATCAATCAGTGAGTAAAGATAATGGGGACATGTTTGGAGTGACACCAAACAGACACCAGTATGTAACAGCAAAAGCAATTTGTGCATTTTTCCTGGGATACTTTCTGGGGTTTTTTTCATTGAAAATGTGTATTTGTGGAAACAGAGCTTGGTGTGGGGAAGAGTCAGTTTGACAGTTATCTCCCAAGTTCAGCTTCAAAATAAAAAAGAAAATTTGTTAGTTTTGATTATTTTTTTCATACTTAAATCCTGTTTCCTGTACTGCTCTGAATGATGTTTCAGAACTGAAACATGTTGTTTAATTTAATGGAATTTTCTCTCTGTAGAAATGTGTTCCTTCTCCTTTTTACCCCAGAAATCTTTTACAGCTGGATGGCAAATCCTCAGTTTGTGAGGATTTGTACTTCAATCCCTTGGATAACATGGGAAAACTTAGCATTAGTAAACAAGTCTTCTAAGATAAAGACTTTAAAGTCTTTAAAGTACTTCTAGAGTAAAGCATTTGCACTTCTGTCTTAAATTTCTACCCTAAGTATGAGAAGAAATGTGAGGAGTTTAGCTGGAAAATATGTGGGTATCATAGTCAGCTCAAAGGTGTTATTTACTAGAGTCACAGATTTTTCTGAGTGTGTTTACATTTTTTAAAATGATAAATATGTGTCCTCGTGGGAGCTGTGCACTGTTGTGCCTCTTGCCCCTATCTTCTCTTTACCTTCGTGGAGGTAGTTGCCTTTGCTGAGCAAGTTGATGATGCAGTCACTTCCTAACCTATTTCCATCAAAATGAGGAAGGTGAGTTTAAACCTGAGCAGCTAAGATATGAAACAGCAGTGACAATCAGGAGGGAGCTGGCATGGCAGCCTTCATAGGAGGTAGCCTAAGTCCATGCCAATTTGATTTTGGCCACCTCATCTATGAAAGCTGTGGTCAAAGTCTGGAATGAAATTAGCACAAAATATATCCTGTGTGCATGGTAAAGCTGACTCTCTTATCTACTCCTGCCTTTTGTTGTTAGCAAAGGTACGAAGACTGTATGATATTGCCAATGTTCTCACCAGCCTGGGCTTGATCAAGAAAGTCCATGTCACAGAGGAACGAGGACGCAAACCGGCTTTCAAGTGGATTGGGCCTGTGGAATTCCCTGAAAACACTGGTAACTTGTGTAGTTGGCATTTATATTCTTTTTTCTTTGATGCTCTCTTCCCAAGTGGTAAAAGGTTGCTTTCTGTGTGTAAAGAATGGGTCAGCATTCAGTGGGTACCCTGTGATTATTAACTGCTGCCAACTCAACATTTGCCCATGTTAGACTCTGCACCCAAGATCTGGATCTGTGGAGGGATGTCAAAGGATACTGTGTCTTGTAGGTATTCTTACACTGACTTAGATAACTATATGCATAACTGTATGTATTGTAGACCAATAGACAGATAGATAGATAGAACTGATACATTCAAATCTGGGTCCATAGCTGCACTGGATTGCAAGATTTTGGTAGTTCTATAAAAATTATACAGTGATTTACTTTATTTGTAAGGGTACATACCAAGGTAGAGCAGGGCTGTTTCTTGCATATGGCCCCTTTTACAAAAGCTTTGTCTGCAAAAGAGCAAGGTGGTGGGACAGAGTATCTCTGTGAGCTGATGTTCCTTGGCTAGAAGCCAGAGCAAAGGGAAACCCTTTGGCTTTGATATTTGCATCAGGACAGTGCCAGGAACAATTAAAATGAAGGATAACGTAAATACTATCTTAGTAGCCTTTCTCCTCCTCGCTAGCACATTAGAAAGTGGCTGCTGCTGCAGCTGCTATGGAATGGATGGAAGGAAGCCCTTATCTTGTCTACTGGTGCTTACTGAATTCTAGACTTGTTTCAGTGTTGAGTGGTTTGAGATAATTGAGAGGTTGCCTCTTCCCTTAATGCCAAGTCTAGTAATATGGCAGAAGCCTGAATGACAAGCTGTGTTGCCTGAAGGACTGTTGTACAAAATGATGTCCCTACAGATGAGTTGAGAGGACATAGTCCAACGTCAGATCCTCTGCCAGGGACACAGAGAGGAGCCTGTGTCCAGTACCAGACCAGTGCTACTGGAAAGCAAAAGTTTACACGTCACGCTTCATTTAACAGTGCGCAGCCTTGTGAAGCAACCAAAAGGAAGGTCAGTTCTGAGCCCAACAGCCCACGCCAAGAGAGGCAAGGTAACTACTAATGAAGCATGTTCTTTTCTGTCCCACTGGACCTGCCCTAATTGAGGGCACCTGATTGGGTGAATCAGCATAATTAAATAGGTGAATTACTCTTGGGAGGTAGCTATATTTCTACTGTGATACATAGATACATACCTATATTTCATGTGATAATGAAATTTCTGGTTTAGAACCTCCAGTCAAATGCCTCAAGTTACATGAGGTGAATCTGGGCCATAATGCAATTGAATCTGCAGTTTATTTTCTGCAGGTAAATGTTTCTCTTCTTTACTAACTACAACTATACTACAGTTTGTACTGTGAAAACTTGATTAAGATAAAAACTTCAGCCACATAATGCTTCCTTTATTTTATGGTTCCTAATATAGTGAAATTTATTGTAACAATCTAACAGATAGTTGTTAAAAAAGATAAAGTAATTAGAGAGCTTTTCACAGTTCCCTCTTATGAGAAATGACAATGTTGAACACGCCTCCAGTGGGACTTGAGGGTTCTCAGTATTTTGCAGGTTCTGGCTCTAGGTGGATTAGTGGATGTTATAAAAATGTGTCAGGACTGAAAAATTATAGCAATTATTTTATATGGCCAGTATCAAAACCTGCTTGGTAAACCTATCTGTGATTAATTGAATGCCCCTTTTTTTTTTCAGCCTCTATTGTGAATTCAGATGAAAATTG